TAAGTAGCTCCCACGATTATACAGTAGGACCCACTGAACATGATTTAGTAATAAAATAGATTATGAATTAATACCCGTAAGAAGTATTTATTAAAAAAGAATTTGCCGTATTAGTCTTGGCTTAATAGCATTTATGAATTTTCGTGTCGTGACTTTGCAACTTGTAAGTTTTTGTTCTTGTAAACGATCACAAAATCTTGTGACTCTGAGCACATTATTAACTTAAAGTGGTTTTCTTCTGCATGATTCGACGTTTTTATTTAGTAAAATAAAAACGCCAAGTACATAATCGCTACAGTTTAAGCCAAACGTTGCCCTAATGAGATCATAATTGAATCTTTATGAATGGAACAAAATGCTTTATAAGATACTTTAGCTTAACTGCCTGTTATAGTTTATATTGTAATTTGTTTCCTAAGAAAATCATCTTACCAAAATGATTTTGGAATTTATTATTAACATTGTGTGCTCATTTTTAGTTTCACTAGACGTTTTTTTTAGTTTTTTTAGTTACTAGCAAATTCTTGCAAACGGTCCTAATAGTTTTTATTACTTTTACAATTTATTTGCTTTCAATTTCATATATTCAGTGTGACCCATATGTTTGGGACTCACCCCTGTGAATATGAATAAATAGTGTGCGATTTTAACCGGATTTGTTTTAAAGTGTAGATCTTGATAAACTGTATTTTTCGAGCAAAAAACACCATAATTTTACAAAATACAAGGTCTACTATGTCAGTTTTTTAGACAAAATTTTTAAGAATTCATATTAGCGATTTAAAAAAAATCTTTGCACGACACGGCCCCTCAAAACGACCCTATACTAAATTTTATTTATTTTTTTCATGGATAACTTGATAACTTGACATTGATAATTTGATGATGAATTTTTGTAAATAGTAATTATTATGCATTTTTAATTTAGCAACAAAATCGATCCCACTTGAAACTTTTTATTATATCCTATAGGAGTAGTCGTTTTGAGGGATGGTGAATCCAGTGCTGTGCATAGATTTTTAAATAGCTAAAATGAATTCTTAAAAAATTACTATCAAAACTTGACCTAGTAGGCCTTGTATTTAGTAAAAGTATGGCGTTTTTTTGCTCCAAAAATACAGTTTATTAAGATATTTACTTTAAAACAAATTCGGTTAAAATCGCATAATAAATAAAGATTTTACATGGGTGACTAGCAAATCAGTGGGTCACACTGTATAATTTATTGTTGAGTAAATGTTTAAGGTCAGAATTCGATCCGTGCCTTCTTTGATCCTTGTATGATCCCAATGCCTAATTCGCGCGGCCACTGGGCTGTTTGATTCGCTAATATCTTATAAAGGTTTAGGCATTTTCGTTTCAGAAATAACTGTTCAATAATCTTGTAATATTTAAATTAAAATACACATGAATATAATGTGAGTTGATGTGTATCTAGATTAGGCCCAACCTAATAGGGTGTCCCACTTTTACTCATGTTGTATTTTTTTTATCGCTGAAGTGGAAATATGCGTTTTTACTAGAAAAGTCACCATTATTTTTTTTCAGATTTTTCAGAGTTTAAAGGGTAGGTATACATACCATACCTTATAAAATTTATAGGTTTTTTATTTTTAAAGTGGGATAAAATGGCTGAAACATGGCGAAACGTGCAGTAAATATTGTCTTTATAATAGCCAACAATAATACCACGTATTGAGTAAAAATGTTTTTATGTAATCTCTAAAAATGAATTAGTCAAAAATTACTAATAACTGTTGTTATTACTATAGTAATAACTACAGTTATTAGTAATTTATTAGTTATTATAATAACTTATTATCGGCTGCTTTTTCACTTAAACCATGGTTTACCATGGGAAATCATTTTATCCCCTATTATTATGTAAAATTGTCCCCTGAATCCGAAAATACTGTCAAAAATTATAAAAGTAGAGCAGTCTTTGAGATATAGTCAATTCCATATTATAGGAAAAATCTTAAAAACTGTTTTACTTTTAAAACTTTTGACGACAGTTTCTGATTATGCGGACAATTTTACATAAGAACTGGCAATTATATTGGGGATACCATGCTATCCCATGGTATAAGTGAAAAATCAGCCACTAATAACTGTACTAATTAGTCATTTTTGACTAATTCATTTTTAGAGAGTAGTTTATTTTTATTAATTATAAAATATTAATGATAAAACTTACAAAACCATTATTTTAAGACATAATTTTGTATAATAAAGGGTGTCCGAAAAATGACGGCACAAAGATATACCACTTTACAAGATGTAAAATTTTTTATTTTTAAAAATTAATTAATTTTAGTGTTTGTTGTAGAAAAAGCATGGTATGCAACTAGTTTTATAAACTTCGCTTATTAAACACTCGCTCGCAAGCTTCGCTCGTGCCTAATTAAAACTCATTAATACAATGTACTTTATTATATAGAATCAATGTACTTTATTATATATAATCAACTGCATTTTATTAATGAGTTTATAAACTTCGTACATAATATACTACGTATAATATGTATTTTTTATTTGATTTAAGTCTAACAAATAATACATGGGTAAAAACGTCTATGATTTAGCATAGGTGCACAGGTATATTATAATATTTATGTATTCAATTTATTTTCTTATTATAGAATTTATGGCTAAAGTAAAAAGAGATAAAATTTTATTATTATTTTTCCGTAATAATTAGTAATCATGAAATAATTAATTATAATTATTACTTCTGGAAAACTTACAGTGTTAATCATAAAATGTACACCAAATGCAATTATATAATCGATAAACCATTATCTAGTTAAAATAAAATAAAATTTAATTTATTTTTACTTTATTTATGGCTTGTATGTTAAGAAAATAAATTAATTACATATTAGGTACTTACGTGAATGAGAAACAAAATCAATTTTTGCGCTATGTTTTGTATAATTTTTTGTGATTTTAATTTAGATTTTTTTACCTGCATATTTTATAACCTTAACGATATGCCTACAAAGTAATTTAGATTAAAATTAAATTAGGTTTCAGCACTCCATAAAAAAATATGTTTTACATATAGTCAGGATGACTTTTGCTTACAAGTAAAAAATAATAATTTACACTCAATTTAATTTTAATGCCCAACGAATTCTTTAACTTAATTACTTCAGTTTTTTATAGTGAGAGCAACATTTCACACATATCAAATATCAATTATCAATGTTTTCGGAATGACCTGTAGGTGATCTATACTAAAACTCGAGAGCTTTTTTACGGGTCTAATTTTTTGGGCTCGGTCTTAAATTTTTGTAATTTCACACCTTTTAATGGCTAATGCGTTACAAATTTTGTCACCTGTTTTACAGCCGGGTGCTTAAAAGGAGCTTAAAACAAAAATCACTTTTATTTATTACAATTTAGATAAAAAGGTTTCGTGTACACGGAGAAAAGTGATTTTTTTAAAGTTAGTACTTTGCTTTAACCTTTAAAGAAATTACTTAAATCTTAAGCATATTTAAATTTTTTTATAAACATTTGAACTGAAACAAATTTCGGGTGCAGACTCCACCGTGCGCATAAACATTCTTTCCACTTTCACTTTGAAAAACTGCTTCTATATCGGATGTAAACGGTTGCTAGTTCATTTTCATTAGATAAATTTACATTTACACAGAAAAATTTTACATTTGCCGCCGGTAATACAGAACTCCATTCTTAGGCTATTTTTAATAGATGTTGCTCTATAAAAATATTTAATTTAAATCATTTTTAGAAGTATTTGTCGTAGAAAAAGTATATACCTATACTCATTTAAATAAAACTCATTTAAAACACTAATTTAAATTCGTAACTAAAATGGCGCTTATCAAACTTAATACATAATATACTATAATATTTTATATGTAGTCGGCTATGCATTTATGCTTTATGTCATTTATGCGGTATGCAGTCCCGACAAACAATTGTCCGTCGGCCGCATGGCGGCCGATGGTCGATAAATGATCTTGCCGACGTTGGCCCACCGGTGGTAAACGACGTCGGCCCTGCATCAATAGGAGACAACGGCCATCAGGCGGCCGACGGACTATAGCCCGCCGTTGTTCATCGCATGCCGACATCAGCCCGCTGGTGGCATACGACGTCGGCCCACTGATGGCATACAACGTCGGCCCGGCATCAATAGGAGACAGCGGCCGACGGACTATAGCCCGCCGTTGTTCATCGTATGTCGACATCAGCCCGCTGGGGGCATACAACGTCGGTCCGCCGTCAATAGTCCGTCGGCCGCATGGCGGCCGACGGTCGATAAATGATCTTGCCGACGTTGTCCCACCGGTGGCAAACGACGTCGGCCCTACATCAATAGGAGACAGCGGCCATCAGGCGGCCGACGGACTATAACCCGCCGTTGTTCATCGTATGCCGACATCAGCCCGCTGGTGGCATACGACGTCGGTCCGCCGTCAATAGTCCGTCGGCCGCATGGCGGCCGACGGTCGATAAATGATCTTGCCGACGTTGTCCCACCGGTGGCAAACGACGTCGGCCCTGCATCAATAGGAGACAGCGGCCATCAGGCGGCCGACGGACTAAAGCCTGCCGTTATTCGTCGCATGCCGACGTTAGCACGCCGGTGGCATACGACGACTGCCAACAGTCAATAGAAGACTGGGGCCATCGGGCGGCCGACGGATTATAGCCCTCTGTTGATCGCAGACCCCGCCATTAGGAAACGACTTCGGCAAACGATCGTCAGTATAAGATGGCGGTATTCACTAGCTAGGTCAAAATGCTGTAAGGGTAAAATAAAATTAGCAGTATTAGTTTTTTTTTTAATAAATTAAATAAATATTCTTTATAAAAAATAAAAAAATAATATTCTTTTTATAAAATAAATAAATAATATTCTTTAAAGAAAAACAATATTCTTATTTAATAAAAATAATAAATAAAAGTAATAAAATTAATGTGAATTCTCAAGTATATATACATAATATATATATATATAATTAGCGATTGCCTCAGTATTATTGCCATCTGTCTTCCTTCGGCACCTTCCGCCTTCCCGATCGCCAGCAGTCCGGAGCCAATTTTTTAACACATCTTCAATTTCTTTATTTGTAGCTTCCCTGGTCATTGGATTTTTTCTTAAAGAAGCTAAATTAAAAAAATATATATTTATATAAGTAAATCCATATCAAATCAACCAATGATGGTTGTTGACAAAATTTATTTAATTTTTATTTATACTCATTAATATTCAGTTTTTTGTGAGCTGGGATTTTGTATTGTGGCGTTAGCCTATTTTGCACTAAAGAGGTTTGCGTTAATCTCTGTACCTTCTTAGATTTTAAAAATATCTACTTCAAACAAAAACCACATACAATTTACTTTATTTACAAGATAATAGGCCTACTAATTAATTAATTGTAAATTAACAAAAAAATAGGGAAGTGTTAACGTTTTTTAAATAAAAACTTTCTCTTTTACAATTAAAAATGTTTTAAGATGAAACTAAGGCTCACCTTCAATTCTATTCATTTAAAATAAAATAAAAAATTAATTATAATTAAAACAGATTTTAAAAATATCCTGCTTTCTAAGATTGACGATTGAGGTTTGTCCCATAGACAAGGGATTGGTTGGGTGGGCGGGGGGTTTGTCCCTACAAGCTCTTTCTGACGCGTACATGGATACGTCCGTCAACAAACGACTGCGCATGTCTGTTTGATGTACTGGTACTAGAACGTATCAGAAATTGCTCTTTGATGGAACGCTTATTTAATTATCAAACTAAGGTTTTCAACAAATTTGTTGTTTAAATGATAAATTTAAAAAAAAAACTGAACAAATTTGTATGTTAAATAAAATAAAATTTATTAAAAATTTTCTTACCCAATATTAAATCCAAAATATTTCTATAGCTTGAAAATGCGTGTTTTCCGTTTTTTCCCGACCAATTGCATTGTTTGGCCAGGTTATTATTTATAATTTTTGTTAATATTCTTCGGGTACCGTCCACTACATCTTTCCCTCCTATAAGTTTTAACGTTGTGCACTAAAATGATAGGCATAATAGAATAGCTCATGGACATTTTTTAATTGTTACTGTTGAGACCTCATTTTTTTTTATTTCTAAAATAACTTTTTTAACTACAATATAAAACTTACCATTTCATTAAAAAATTCTGTTTTTTTTAACTTTTCGTTAAAATCTTTTAATTCCTCTATATTGGAAACTTGTAAAATGTCTTTAATTTCCGTAATATGTGGTTCCTTAGATAGACTTGACAGTTGGGCCTTTATTACTAACAGGTCATCAGACATAAACTTCTGCTTCATATGTATTTTTTTCAATAGTGCTAAAAATGTAAAAAAATAGTTGATTAACTGATACATTTAACTGGATGATGACTGTAATAGACAAAAATATAAAATATTATCTTTACCTTCCTGTCGATTCAGAGAATTCACCAGAGACTCTGGTAGTTGTAAGGGCCTTTCAGGTTCATCAGTTATATTAGGTTCATTTGCAACCATAGGGGGTACTATAGGAATATTTTCCTCGGTTTCCCCATCGGTAATTTCGTTTATAACTTCTTCCTCAGAACTAGAATTAGTTTCTATATATTTTTTATTGGGAATTAAAGGTCTTTTTTTCATTGGGTCTTCATTATCACTGTCACTCTGGGTGATGTCCAGTTTTTCAAGCAGTTTTAATTTCTCAATGGCTTTTTCATAAGAATCTGAAAAATTGTTTGGATAGAGTTTTTACATAATATAATTGATGTTGTACTTTGTTTTTAACCCTCTCAACAATCTAAAGTAAATTTTGGTTATAAAAATAATACCTATAAAAAAATAATTAAAAATAAAACTACCTCAAAAACTACTTACTTGTTTTAAATTTTATATTAATTTTGCATGTTAACGCTTTTTCTTTATCCGGAGTTTCGTTATTTATTATAGCTTTAGTTTTTTTTCGTTCAGAATTAAAAGTTGGCCATAAACAATGCGAGTCATCCAAAAGCCAAGATAATGGAATAATCATCATTGGGGTTACCCCATCTTTCATTTCATCGGGAAACTCGACCACAAAATAATTTCTAAAAAAATGAGTTATTAAATATAAACTTTTAATATATATTAAGTAATATTTATTTACTTTAAGAGTTTATAGATTTTTTTTAATGGAAAAATAGTATTTAATATTTGTTAAATAAAACTTACTTTTACATAGAGAAGGATGGGCACTTTTAAAAATGATCATAAGTGCTTGAAAACCGCTTAAAAGTGCTTGAATATTTTAAAAAGTGCTCGATATTTAAATTTTCCGCCAAAACTAAAAAGCGGGATTATAACATAACCAACCAATATATGTTTTTTTTTCAGTTTACGTAGAATTTCCAAAATTATAAGAAAACTTTTAAAAATAAAAAAATATGTTACTTGCAAGTTCTTCAATTTAATTTAATAAAAAAATAATTTTTCTACATTATCTAAATAAGAGCCTCAATAAATAGCATTTATAAGCGTTTTTGATCAATTATGAGCGTTTTTGGGCTAAATTTACTGGAAGTGTAAAAGCTTGGAGAAAGCAAAATCGTTTTTATATGGCATTAATATGCCTTTACACAATACATTTTCAAAATTAAACATAAAAAGACTTTCTTCCAGATTTGTCACTTTATATAATCCAATTTTCCTAGAATCCTCTGGATAATTAAAAAATGAGTTAATATTTCTAAATTTTTGACCCAAGAAGAAATATTTTCCTGTTTCTTTATGTTTTAAAATATATTTAATTAAAGTAATATCATTATTTTTTAGCATCAATGCATGGTCCCCATTACAATTTGTGTAAGTCTCATCACTGAAAACTATCTTCCTGTAAAAATTATATAGAAAGAATTTTTCATACAAGTTATTTGGAATATTTTTATCAATAATGTTATTGCTTTCACATTTCTTTATTTTCTCAAGCTTCTCAAGCTCTTCTACCCTATTTACTATTTGCTGTAGCGGTTGATTGGGTTTTCTTAATAAGATCTTTAGTTTGCCCAAATAATTTTCAAATGGAAAGCAATTTATGGTATTTAATGTATTGAAAACTTTTGCATCATTTGCTAAATGTATTAGGATATGAACATTATATATACAAAATTCTCTTCCATATTTATGAATTAAATTTTTGACAAATATTTTTAATAGTTTAGAAGCATAATCATTATATTTTAAATTTAATTCTGATGATAGCAAAATCGTTAAGGCATATTTAAAAATCATAAAATTTGCATATCTCTCTTTATCCAATACATCTTTTAAAACTATAGGACCAATGTACAATAAAAATTGTCGAAATTCAGTGGCTTTCCATCTATCCACTTCAAATATTGTTCTGGGAGCTCTTTGAAAATTAGAAGGCCAGAACTTTTTAATTTCCAAATTTTTTTTGTCTATTGCTAATTTTTCAACAATTTTTATATGACTTTTCCCTTTCATCCAGGAGTTTATTAATTTTTTCATTACTCCCAAGCAAACCGCATGCATATAATCAATAGGGAATTTTGAAACCATTCCTATAGGCAACTGTTCTAAAGGTGTTGTACCTTTATGGTGTTTAGCATCCATTTTTAAAGAAAATTCCTCATCGGTTCGTAGATTTGCATTTATATTTTCAAATATCATTCTTTTCTGAAAATGTTCCCCTTCAGCCCAGCATTTGTCACACCCAGAAAATCCATTATGGCCCTTAATGTTTTTTATGAAAGCCTTTGCTGGAGCATCACATAAAAATGATCTAACATTTATCTGTAAGGTTTTAGTCCCAGTATTTAGCCCATCCTTTAATTTTTTTAATTCATGAACAAAATTTAGAAAGAATTCTTCCAAATCTGGTTTTGATTCCCCGCAAAATATTGCTACAACAAATATGGTATCTTCTGTTTGACACAAAATTGGCCAAAAAGCCTTTCGTGTGCTATTATGTAAAGGTACCCCATCTATATTAAAATTTAAATCAAATTTATTTATACTAGGATGCTGGTTATAAATTTTTAAAAGCATCTTTTCCAATCCAAAATAAAAGAATTGACCCTTACTTTGTGTTTCGATGTTACTTTTTTTTGGAGTATTTAGTAATGTTCTGGCATCATAAGGTAATTTATCAAGGTTGGGTTTTGTTTTAAACCAATTCAAAAGTTCTGTGACAGCTGTGTGTGTTATATTATTTTTTAAAGTCCAGTTTCTTAAAAACATTTGTGGATCAATTTTTTCATTTTTTAACCCACCCAAAACCTGGTCGTCACTACTTTGTCTTTCAGAAATTTCAAATTTTTCATTATCCTCATCACACCCACTATTATTTGCACAAAAGCTGTCATTATTATCTATTTGTTTAATACAGTCACTATCACAGACCACTGTATGTGGTCTGTGGTCACTATCACTAGATATATCTATATAATTTTCTATATTATTATCTAACATTTTTTTTTCATTATCCTCATCGCCCCCAATGTTCTTTGCACAAAAACTGTCATTATTACGTATTTTTTTAATACAGTCCCTATTTTCCCTATTTTCTATATTATCTAAACATTTTTCTTCTGAGTCGATATGATTATTTTTACTATTATTAGTTTCAGAAATATTACTTGAGAGATTGTTATCAATTTTATATAGTTTAAAGGACTCCTCCCTTTCTTTGGCTGCTAATTTATAAACATAACTTCTTGACCGCTTTCGATTAGCTCTAAAATATTATAAAAGCCCAAATATAGCCAATCTCTCCGGATATTTTAGGGCATTAGAATAAAATATATAGTCTTATATTGCTTTATATTTTATTCTAATATATACTTAAATAAATATATATACTATAATATATATTAGGTACTTACTTATATTGTTTGGACATCTTTCTATCTTTGATTGAATTTGAAAAGCTGATAACATACACACACTCAAATGATTTATTATCTATGATTTAAACGCAACGGTTTCAATTCGTTTGGCCACAGAACATAACATACACACACTCAAATGATTTATTATCTATGATTTAAACGCAACGGTTTTAATTCGTTTGGCCACAGAACATAACCTCACACAATAAACAATTCTGCAACGTTGTCAAGTCGCTTTGGTTACAACACATTGTGAGTCTGATAATTAATAATTAGCAGTTTAATATTAATTACTTCTCCATAGATACAAAACTCATAATAAATATTACTATTTTAACGGCAACGTCAACGTCAGATCTAGAAATGCCGCAATGGGTTCAACCCATTGGGTTGTAACTTTAAGCAAACAACGTTGCAGAATCGTGTATTGTGTGAGGTTATGTTCCATAATTCATGTACTAATAGTTAATTTATAAATAAATATTAATGGTATTGATTATCGCGATAACGGGTTTACCGACGTTGAACCATCGCGAAAATTGATTGTCTTTTGCAGACGTTTGACAATGTTGCGACGCGTACGTCCAACGTTGGGCCAACGCATCGCGAAGTCGGAAATCGATTATCGTTTGCAGACGTTTTACCGCTCGTATTGCCGACGTCGGTACAACGCTGGGTTGACGTCGGAAATGAATTATCGTTTGGCGACGATAGGCCGACGTCGGAAATTGATTATCTTTTGCAAACGTTTTTTCTCTAGTTTTACCGACGTCGGTCCAACGTTGGATTGACGTCGAACATCGATTATCGATTTCAGACGGGTTACCGCTCGTTTTGCCGTCGTCGGTTAAACGTTCGGTTGACGTCGGAAATTAATGTTGTTTGCCGAGAATGGACCGACGTCGAAAATCGCTTATCGTTTACAGATGTTTTACCGCTCGTATTGCCGACGTCGGTACAACGCTGGGTTGACGTCGGAAATGAATTATCGTTTGGCGACGTTAGGCCGACGTCGGAAATTGATTATCTTTTGCAAACGTTTTTTCTCTAGTTTTACCGACGTCGGTCCAACGTTGGATTTACGTCGAACATCGATTATCGATTTCAGACGGGTTACCGCTCGTTTTGCCGTCGTCGGTTAAACGTTCGGTTGACGTCGGAAATTAATATTGTTTGCCGAGAATGGACCGACGTCGAAAATCGCTTATCGTTTACAGATGTTTTACCGCTCGTATTGCCGACGTCGGTACAACGCTGGGTTGACGTCGGAAATGAATTATCGTTTGGCGACGTTGGACTGACGTCGGATATTGATTATCTTTTGCAAACGTTTTTTCACTAGCTTTACCGACGTCGGTCCAACGTTGGATTGACGTCGAAAATCGATTATCGATTTCAGACGGGTTACCGCTCGTTTTGCCGTCGTCGGTTAAACGTTCGGTTGACGTCGGAAATTAATATTGTTTGCCGAGAATGGACCGACGTCGAAAATCGCTTGTCGTTTACAGATGTTTTACCGCTCGTATTGCCGACGTCGGTACAACGCTGGGTTGACGTCGGAAATGAATTATCGTTTGGCGACGTTGGACTGACGTCGGATATTGATTATCTTTTGCAAACGTTTTTTCACTAGCTTTACCGACGTCGGTCCAACGTTGGATTGACGTCGAAAATCGATTATCGATTTCAGACGGGTTACCGCTCGTTTTGCCGTCGTCGGTTAAACGTTCGGTTGACGTCGGAAATTAATATTGTTTGCCGAGAATGGACCGACGTCGAAAATCGCTTGTCGTTTACAGATGTTTTACCGCTCGTATTGCCGACGTCGGTACAACGCTGGGTTGACGTCGGAAATGAATTATCGTTTTGCGACGTTAGGCCGACGTCGGAAATTGATTATCTTTTGCAAACGTTTTTTCTCTAGATTTACCGACGTCGGTCCAACGTTGGATAAACGTCGAAAATCGATTATCAATTTCAGACGGGTTACCGCTCGTTTTGCCGTCGTCGGTTAAACATTCGGTTGACGTCGGAACTTAATTATCGTTTGCCGACAATGGACCGACGTCGAAAATCGCTTATCGTTTACAGATGATTTACCGCTCGTATTGCCGACGTCGGTACAACGCTGGGTTAACGTCGGAAATCGATTATCGTTTTTCGACGTTGCAACGCGTTGGACCGACGTCGAAAATCGATTATCGTTTACAGACGTTTTACCGCTGGTTTTGCCGACGTCGGTCCGACGTCGACTCGATGTAAAAAGCGATGATCGGTTGCAGCCTAGCGGCCGACGGACGATTGTTTGTCGGGGTATTTCTATCTTATGCATTATGTTAAATTAATTAATTACCTATTTAATTGCGTAGCTATATTTATTGGTAAATTTTTAAATAGTTATTAATTATTTCTATTAAACTTTTGCTTTATGCATGTGGAATAAAAACGCATTTTAATCTTAAATATAATTTTTCATACCTTCTCTTTGTTTTTGTTATTGTTTTTGTCTGTTATACCATTCTAGTAATTTTAGGTTTGTACGTTGGTACTACGAAATCACCATATGCGTTGAAGACACATTTACAAGGTTTTTGTTTTTTTTGTAAATACTGCTTTCCAGTAAAGGAACAGCTGCCAAACAGCACCGGTATGCTAAATATAAGTATGAGTTTGGGAATCACTCCTAAAATATTAAAACTGTCCCCAATATACTGGATCTTTTAGTAACCATTTCCAAAACAGTTCTATTCATATAAAATAGGTACTTTGTAAAATACTTGTTTATCTAATGTTAAAATAAATTTTGCATTTTTGGTATTGAAATAAAGAATTTAATTGTTTGTCAATTTAAATCTTCCGTAGAAAACTTGAATATAACGAGGTTTAAAGCTCCTCACAAGTTGCATTTATCAGAAAATAATTAGTATCGATCTTACAGAAAATTTATAATAAAACAGTTTAAATGGAAGTTTTAATGGTTTTATTATAAGTATAATTCATATTCATCAATAAAAATGTCTTTAACATGTTGAAGACGGAATTTTAATTACAAAGCAAAGCTTCCAATTATTATTTAAAGTTAGATATCTAATAGCAATCTTGTTCCTTTTCGCATGCAAATTTTAAATATTTAAGATTTAGTAAACGACTGAAGACCAATTAAATACATAGCTTGTACTTATGCTTATTATGCTTTGCTTATGCTTATTACTATGCATTGTATTATTTTAAAATTTTTAAACAATTATTTTAGGTTTACAAAAATTTTGACAATGTTTTCCCAATTATACATGTTATTTTGAAATGTATATTATTCTTTTTTGCAGCTATATTTATATACATAAAAGGTGTTTTTAAGACTCCATATCATCATATATCTTTTATTTTTTATATTTCTATATTTATGTTTCATATATTTGGCAAATTATAAATAGAATCACACCAGAAAAATGCTTTTAAAATCAGTCAATTCGTGAAACGCATAAAGGATTACGTGAAAATGCTATTCATAGTATTGTGGGTAAATTTGTATCACTAACACTCTGCATAATGTAAAGCTACAAAATACTCAGTTTCATCCACTAAAGTGCACTGTTTGGTGTGGTCTTTAGCGGTGGCATCATTGAAAGGTATATATTTTTTCAAAAATGAGGCTGGACCTCGCGTTACAGTCAATATCCAAAATTAACAGAGAGTGATTCTACAATATAAACGACATTGATACGAATAAAATGTGGTTCCAGCAGTAGCTTACGTGTCCTACTGCTCAAGATATCCTCGACTTACCTATTTATTGAGGAATTAATTCAACAAAATTTGTGTTTAAAACATATTATCAATCTTCCTAATGAACAAAGATTTTTTCCCAATTCCGGTCGGTATTATTTTAAAAATAAGTTATATTCCACGTTACTCGGCAATTTTTGTAGCGTTCGTAATAAATAAAAATTGTAATTAAATAATATTGCAATACATAGTTATTATTGCAAACATGTTTATTAAGCTTGTTATAATTAAGTTTAAGATCATAAGCATAATAATTAGGGTAGTTTTTACTCACAATTTTTTATTATTTCAAACGCTACATAAATTGCAGTACAGTGGAATGACTAATTATTCTTTTAAACACATTTTATATAATATTTAAAAGGTCAATCATTCCACTGTACTGTATATTATATAGCAGACTTATTTCATGTTTAAAAATTAGGTAGGTAACTATATTTAAGAAATTCATTTTTAATAATTTATTTTGTAATTTTTTTTAAAGTAAAAAAAAATGTTGGGTAAAAGATTGTACGGAATCCGATCTCCCCTCGATAAAGGATACTATAGTTACACAATTTATGATTAATACAAATAAATTTTAATTAAAAATACAAGGAATATCGCAGACTGTTGATTATTTCCAAATTATATCAAAATATTACAAGACCACTGTACAAGTGAATATTACAAGAATATATTGCAGATTGTAACGTATAAGAAAGAAGGTAGATAATGCAAGAGAAAAATCTAGCTATCCTTTTTTAGTCGCCGTTTCTCATCTGCAACTAGCCAACTAGCCACCCAACCCTTAATAACTTTTGAGTTATAGTAAATATGAACTTGAGCAAAAACAGGTCGATTTAGAATATCGAAGGGAAAGTACACATACAGCTTTAAATAAATTTTATGCTGCACCCTCTCACCTCCAGCTAACCTTACTAAAATATTTTAAATGGCGCTCTATACTTTGCAATACATCTAGGTATTTAAAGAAAATTCAATTGTAGTTAAAAAAAATTAAATCCGATCACAAATCCACGAGTTATAGACAAAAAAGGTGTAATATTATTAAAACAAAGAATTCCATACATTTGTTCTCAAACTCAAGTCGAACTTTTTGAAACGTTTCAGGAGTAACATATCTACAATCTTGAATTATTCTTCGTTTGAGTTCTTGAATGTTTTCAGGTGGTGATTTGTAGACTTATGTTTTTAAATAAACACAAAGAAAAATATCTAAGTTGCATTTAATCCGGAGATCTTGCCGGCCATTCTCAAGCACCTCTTCTACCAATCCATTTTTCGAAAAACTTACTTACCCTTAGCCTTACTACCCTTTTTACCATAACTTGATTTTTAATTCAAAATGGTGAATCATTTCCTGGTTTCGGCTTCAAAAGAATAAAGATAATGGTGATTAAATCCGCCCACCATGACGTGAAATTATGCAACGACAAAAGGTACTTGTTCATGGTGCCGGTACCACCAATAGCATGCCGAAGAATGGGGTTACTGGGCAACACCACCAGCCTGGAAAAAAATGAAGAGTTTATGGTTTGATGATTTTAAAGGACAGATGTAAGTCTGGCTGTATTTTAAATAGTTTAGATTTTTTTTAAATATAGGTAATTCTTAAAATAAATAAGTTTATAAAATGATTAATTACATAAGACACAAGTAATAATTATTTATCTAAGTATAATTATTGTATGACAAATTACCTTCTACCTAACCCACGTAAATGAAAAATTTCCCATTCAATTAAACAATGGAAAATAACCTTTTGTAAATAATTACGATTTAATCAACAGAATATATGCTAGTTACTAGTACGGTAATCAAATCCACATTAAATTTAGATTAATGTAATAATTTATAAAAATCCTTTTTCAAACAATACATGAAAAATATACAAAAAACAAGGTGGATTGTTTATAAAAAGAACCTCTCAATTAGAAACAATAAAACATGTTTTTAAAAATCGTTTTTTGTTTTGAACATGGAAAAGCTCTCTTTCATATCAGACGTATTTATTTTCGTGAAAAAACTCTTACAAATGATTGATTATTTATTTAATATTTCGTGTAGACTTGTTTTTACCTTAGAATAAGTTGAAGCTGAAATATATAAGTATTATTACTCTTAAAAAATTTTGCTTTTGAGCAAAAAAAAGTATAGTGTTTGATATAAATATTACATTTACAAAAGTTGACAAGGATTTTTACATTACATAAATCATCAAAGTTTTTTGTATGTAACATATATATATATATATATATATATATATATATATATATGTATTTTAGGGTGGGTGGAAAAATAAAAAGTAAGTAATACAACCAGTTTTTAAACGGTTTTAATGATGCCATTTCTATTGACTACTAAATTTTTCCGATGAAAATCTGAAACGCCCTGTATAACTTGGTAAAAGGATGAAATCAATGACAATAATTGTAATTGATTTAATAAAAGTAAAATATAATTAAATATTAAAAATACTTTTATATACAAAGAAACTTTAATCAGGTTATATGTCTTATATAAATAAAAATAATTATATTTGCCAGCGTACTAAACTGAAAACAATTCAATTATCTCATCACAAGAGAGTGTAAACTAAAATGGTTAGGAATTTATTGGTATCGACACCGACGACTATTTTTTGAAAACTTTTAGATTCGATTTGGTTGTCCCCGTCCTCTGTATTTCTTAGCATCATGCCGGCAGTAACAGAAGTTGGATAAGTTAATTTTGCGGTTAATAAAATAAAGGACCCACTGCTTGTATGCATGATCGATCAGGAATACGAGGAATTTAAAAAAATAAAATATGTTATTATTTTGGTTATAAAATAAAAATTTGAAAATGATTCTTCTTTTAACCCTTTTCAAAAAATGTATAGTATATTGTAGTACATTTCTTAGTGGTAAAACTACTTATGTAAAATTCTTTTTTATTCATTATTATTTATTATTATCAATACCACAATTTCTAAAAAAAACAAATTTTTACTCCGTAGGGTTCGAATTTAAAAAATATTATTATAATAATAGTATAGTACGAGAGATAATGCACATTATCTCTCGTATAATACTATGCTTTTTCTACTCCAATTAAGTAATTTTCATTAATAACAAAATTTATTATGACCTCACTTTCTCCCCAAGATACATACACCTTAAGAAAGGATGGTGCGCATGTTGGGCGGCGCTTAAATACGTCACTTGATGAGTATTTTTAAATCTTTAACGTACTTTTTAATTATCGATGTGGCTCCCGTCCCGAGGCGGGACTTAAGTTCAGTCCCGATTGACGTCACACACTGTAAATCGGTTTTTATTCCCCCAGATTTTATAATTTGTGTCAAGCTCGATGGCTTAGATGGTAGGGCGGTCGCTTGGCATGCGAGAGGTACCGGGTTCGATCCCACTAGAACTTTTTTTATTTTTTTTATTTTATAAATTTGTTGTTTCTTTGTTAAAAAGTGTTTTATTTTTATCGTAACATAAATTTGCCCATTTTAGTTGGGTTTTTTGCTCAATGGGGCG